CCGCCACCTTCCACTACCGCCACCGCGGTCTCCGGCTGTAGCCGTAGCCTCTGCCGCCGCCGGCCTTGCTCGGCCGCCATTGCTGTGAGGCGGCTGCCTGCGAGGGCTCCGCCTCCGCCCACTAAGTCTCGCGATAGTACCTGCCGTGCGGCATTAAAGTGATCGGCTGGTACCAAATCTCGCGATGTCGGTTTCCTTCCCGGGAAGTTGCCAGAACTAACTCTGGGCAGCATGGCCTCTTTCCGGCTTCCCCTAGCCCTTGGGAAAAACTTTATTGACAAAGGTGACAGAGAACGGACAGTGGGCCGGGAGAGGCGACTGATTCGAAACTGTGCACATGGGCAGGTGGACTCACAGCTGGGAGCGTGACTTTGCTGCGCGCTGCAGTGGTTATTTGGTCCATTCTGCACCCTAATACCACCCCACATACATTTGAGCCAAGTCTCTTTAGATTGCTGGTTAGAATGATTCCAGTACCCCCCTTAATTTAGGCAAACAAAAAGGGGTGTGGGGGTGTAAGAAAGGTTCCTTGGGAGCTGGGCGTGGTGATGCACACCTGTAATCCCAGCACTCGGGAGGCTAAGGTAGGAGGATCGCTGTGAGTTTGAGACCAGCCTGGGCTACATAGTGAGTTCCAGGTCAATCTCAACTACATAGTGAGACCCTGTCTCAAAAAACAAAAACAAACAAACAAAAAGAAAGGTTCCTTGGGAAGGGCCAAACATCACACAGAGATGCAGCTTTTGTATAAGCACCTCAACCCACCAGCTTCCCCTCCCAAAGATTTTGCAGTTTAAGAACCGGTCTTTTCCAAACCTGTCCTGGGTTCTGGGGATACTGATGAGCAAGATAGCGTCTGCCCCTGCCCTCACGAGTTCACATAACTCTAGGGTTAAGGTCTCATAGGACTGAGAAGGCCCTCTCCACATTTCTGCCCATGGTCTTCTCACTGGGGCACCTCTGGGTTGAGGATGTAGTAGGTCTGTGGAAGATCATTTGCCCAGCATTCAAGGGGCCTTGAGTTCACAAAAAAGAAAGATCACCTCCTCCCTCTTTGAGTTAAGAGTTCTGTTTGGGGGGTTGTTTAGCTTTGTTTTGAGACAGGACCTTACTACATAGTTGAGGCTGGCCTTGAACTCACAGCAATCCTCCTGCCTCAGCCTCTCCAGTGCAAGGATTACAGGTGTTCAACACCATGCCTGTTTTGGATTCCGTGTACTTTTTAAAACCTTAAGCCTGAACTGAACGTGTTCGTTGGCCTGTGTACACCGTATAATGGGACCTCCATTCTACCACCATGCTCCTGACTCCAGCTGCCAACACTTCCTGTTCCTAAAGCAGCCCAAGTCCAACCTCCTGGGCCTACTTACTCCTGAATGTCACCTTATCAGTGAGTTTTTCCCTATTGTAATGGTCTTACTGATTGAATTGTGAGGCTCCTTTACCATCTGTAATGCCACAGAACAAGAACTCAAGGGCAGTGCCCTTGAGATCCTGTTCTGTTCTGTGTTTGTGCCTAGAATAGTACATAGCTAATGCTCAACTTTTAAAAACTTTTTTCCCAGTACTTGGGGCTGAATCCAGGGCCTTTGCACTGAGCTACACGCTCACCCCTTATTTTTTATTTTGAGATAGGATCTCACTAAATCACTAAGTTGCCCAGGCTAGACTTGACTAGACTAGTCCTCTTGCCTCAGCCTCCCAGAGTGCTGGAATTACAGGTGTGTATCACACCTGATGATAAACATTCATTGAATGAGTAAATGTATAAATTCCATCTCTTAAACCAGGTGTGGTGGCACATGCCTGTAATCCCAGCACTCAGGAGGCTGAGGCAGGAGGATCGCTGTGAGTTCCAGACCAGCCTGGGCTACATAGTGAGTTCTAGGTCAGTCTCAACTACATAGGGAGACCCTGTCTCAAAAAAGCAAACAAAAAAAATTCCATCTCTTTTTCTAGGTATCCCATGGTTACTCCAAGCACCTTTTGCTGCACAAATTCACTCTTCCCTCTTTGCTTGCCTGAGCTGAGACTCCTTATGAGTCCTAGGCGCCTAGAAAGTAAACTTAACCTCTGTACTCCTTCTTTCACAAAGGATGACATTCTTCAGTGCTTTTCCTGTCAGCAGATTCAGCAGGGCAGGGCCTGCCCCTTTAATTTGGGCCCCACCTGCTCTGGTCAGACAGGTTTGGAGACACAGGTAAAGGGAATCAGACTGAGAGAACACTTGCAGAGCCAGCAGGGAGCTGGGCAGCTCCTTCCTGGATCCTGGAAACCCTTCACCTCTTCCAGATGAAAAGTAAGAGGGTGCTATGGGTCCAATGGCAAGGGTGGGAGAGCCCTGGAGGAGGTGAAGGAGGGGAATCAGTCCCTTCCAGAGTGAGCTAGATGGAGGGTAGCCATGAGGGGAGAGAGACAGGAAAGGAGGCATGAAAAACAGCCATGAATAGACCTACAAGTCATAAGAGATAGAGCCAGACCCATGGAGGGACCAGGGTGGGTACTGAGGTGTTTGGGAACTGACCAAGCACCTAGATTGCAGACAGAAAGACTGAGTGACCCGCAGCTGCCAGCTCCTTGGGAAAGATATGTCAGCCTGTCACTGCGGTCAGTTGCTAGGAGAGATCCATGCAGGGAGAAGAAACGGGAGGTAAGACAGTGGATGGGCAGCTTCTCTGTCTCCCAGAAGATTCTCGGTGGGAAAGAAGCTCCTGACAAATCTCTGACACCGCCTCTTCCTCCATCCCTAGGACAGGCTGGCCATGACCCCAGGGTTTTTGGTGTGGGGGCAGAGGTGTAGGTGGGGCTGACAGAGGCCAGAGCTGCCAGGGCCTGTGCCCCCTGACTCACCCTGTCCTGCTAGACGGCATTTGATGTTGAAAGGGTGGCTCCATTGCAGCCGCTGACTGTGCTCCTGCCTCTTATTTCAACACCTGTGCGCCACATTCTTCCTAAGGTCCTGGAAGGGCCAACCGCCCTGGAGAGTTGCATTCCTGCCAAACGGTTCAGAAGGCCAGAAGACAGGGGGGCTGTTCCAGGATGACATGGGCTTGTGGAGGACCCCAGGACTGAGACCCCAGCATGACAGAACCTGAGACGCTGGCCCTGCTGGAAGTGAAGGGGCCTGAAGCCCCAGAGAAGAGCCTGCCTCAGACTCTGGTTCCCAATGGCAGGCAGCCAGGAGGGGAAAGTGGGGCCGAGTCCCCTGGAGCCGAGTCGCTCCAAGTGGGGCCGTCCGCTGGGTCTCCCACAGCGAGAGAGGAGACTGAGGATGGGCTGGACAGCACAGTAAGTGAGGCTGCCACTTTGCCCTGGGGGATGGACCCGCAGCCCAGTGCCCCACTCCCTGACCCCCCAGGCTGGCGGGACATCGAGCTGGACCCTCCTGAGCCACTCAGTAAGCCAGAGGAGCCCCCCGAAGACGACTGCAATGTGCTGCCCGAGCGGGCCGCCCGGGCCTTTGTGCCCATTGACCTGCAGTGCATCGAACGGAAGCCCCAGGAGGACCTCATCGTGAGCTTCGAGGCAGGCGAGGTCGCGCACCGGGCCTTTGTGCCCCCCCGGGTCACCCATCCTGAGCCCCCCGAGTGCAAGTGGGCCGAGGCAGTCGTGAGGGCCCCTGGCCAGTCCTTCGGGGGCTGCAGGAGCTGCAGGGGCCGAGAGGGGCTGAGGGCCGTGGTCTCAGTGGGCGCTGCTCTCCTCCTCTTCCCCTGCCTGCTCTATGGGGCATACGCCTTCCTGCCTTTCGACGCCCCCCGGCTGCCCACCATGAGCGCCCGCCTGGTCTACACGCTGCGCTGCGGGGTCTTCGCTACCCTCCCCATCGTGCTGGGTGAGTCTGGACCCCAGGAGAAGAGAGGGGATCTGGGAAGTGAGCTTGGGGCGTAGGGCCTGCCTGGCCTCTGCGCAGCTTTCTCCCCAGGCCCCCCACTCAACACCTGGTGCCCCTCTCCTCTCAGGACCGCCTCTGCCCCAGGCCTCGCTGTGTGCCCCACCTCCGCCTCTTCTGACCCGGCCCCCTATCCCCCAGGACTCCTGGTGCAAGGCCTGAGCCTGCTGTGCTTTTCTGCCCTGCGGCCCTTTGGAGAGCCGAGGCGGGAGGTGGAGATCCACCGACAGTACGTGGCTCAGTCTGTCCAGCTCTTCATCCTCTACTTCTTCAACCTGGCTGTGCTTTCCACCTACCTTCCCCAGGACACCCTCAAGCTGCTCCCTCTGCTCACCGGGCTGTTCGCCATCTCCAGGTGAGTAGGGGCTGGGCTGGGGCTCGGGAGGTGACAGATTTTCCCTCTCTCTCTCCCTCTTGTTCAGCAATTGTACCCCAGGGCCTTCACACTGAGCTACATCCTCAGACCTTTTTAGTTTTTTATCTTTTTTTTTTTAAAGTTTTTTATCTTGAGACAAGGCCTTGCTAAATCCCCATGCAGGACTCAAACTTGTGAGCCTCCTGCTGAAGCCTCTCAGAGTGCTAGATTACAGGTGGGCACTCCTAGCCCGGCTTTTGTTTGTTTGGTTGGGTTTTTTGAGTCAGAGTCTTGCTATGCAGCCCGGGCTGGCCTTGAACTCTCCGTTGTCCCAATTCCACCTCTCTTGAGGCCTGGGTTGCTTTTATGCACCACCACACCTAGCTCAGAGTGTACTTCTGAGGGGCAGGGGATGTGGTTCTGCTGCGGGCCTCGCAAGTGCAAGGTCCTGAGTTTGAGCCCCTATACAAAAAAAAAAAGAAGGTACTTCTGAATTCTGTATCCAAATGGAGATGTTTTGCCGAGTGTGGTGGCACATGCCTGTAATCCCTCAACTCAGGAGGATGGCAGCCAGTTTGGAGATAACCTGGGCTGTATAGTGAGTTCAAGGCTAGTTTGAACTACGTAGTGAGATCCTGTCTCAAAACAAACAACCAAAAAACAAAGAACCAACCAGCCACACACACACACACACACACACACACACACACACAGGCACAAAACAAACCAAAACCCCAAAACAAAACCAAAGGAAGTGTTTTCATTTTCCCAGTACATTTCCTGTATTACTTTCATTACAGAATTCTTGGTACCTTTAGATGCTAAAATATTCCCCCTGTTGAGCAAAGATTAGTATTCTTGTCACTTCCAATTGCAGTCCAGCTGCCCCTCATCCTCCTGAACATCATGCAGCCTTGCATTTTCTCCCAGTAGACTTGCCCTGCTCAAGAAACAGCCTCATCTCTGATTCTTGGGAACCACTGGTCTCACGTAGAAGTTGGAGCTCAAGGGGGAGACTCGGGGTGGTCTGGTCCAGGGTCCCCATTTCAGACTGGGGAGAAGAATCACCCAGGTTGGTCAGCAATGGCGGGCAGCAAGACCAGAAGCCAGCCCCTTCCTCCTCCATCCAGGGCAAGGTCTCAAAGCCTTTCTCTCCGTTTCATCGTCTAGAAGGCAGGGCTATGTGAAGCAAATGAGTCAATGCACGTAGAGTGCTGGGAACACTGGCACCAGGTGAGGCCACTGACGCAAACCCCAGGGTACAGGCCAGCTTTGTGGCATGTCTGCGTCCCCACAAAGAGGGGTGTGCATTTTCAGTAGATTTTTTTCTTTAAACAGTCCTTTTTTTAATCTTTATGAGTCCACGTTTGCTGTACATAGAGGTTACGTTCACGGCAGGGACTCTGCTGCACATAACACATCCTCACTCTTTTTATTTCCCTTTCACTCCCTCCTGCGGTGGATTCTCCAGCAGGCGGGATGTGGTAGCTAACCCATCCCTCTGGTCTGCCTCCCTAAACTGTGCAAAGAGGGGGCAATGATCAGCCTTGGGTTCAAGTCGTGGTTTTGCTATTTTCCAGAAGTGACCTTAGGTCCCTTTGGAGTCTGTTTCTTAATTGGCAAATATACAATGGGCCACACCCCAGCGAGTTGTAAAAGAATGAGGAAACTGCATGTTTATGGTGATCTCCACGATAAATGACAGGGCGAAAAGTCAGCCTGCAGTGGTCTCTATAGTCTGCTGCGGTATTTCAAAAAAGGGAAAAAAATCAAAACTTTTCATTCAGGCTGAGATGTAGCTTTGGGTTTTTGTTTTGTTTTGTTTTTTGTACCAGGGATCGAACTTGGGACCTTGTATTTTGTGAGGCAGGTGGCAGAACCACTGAGCTAAACCCCCAGCCCTGGGTGTAGCTTGATGCTAGAGTGTTTGCCTAGCAGAGTGAAGCCTTGAGTTCCATCCCCAGCAGTACAAACATTTTATTTAAGCATATATAAAATAACCAATGCACACAATGAAGCTGGGTGTGGTGGCACATGCCTGTGATTCCAACACTGAAGGAGGCTGAGGCAGGAAGAGTGCTTCTAGTTCATGGCCAGCCTGGGTTACATAGTGACTTCAAGGCCAGCCTCGACTACATAGCAAGTCCCTGTCTCAGAAAACAAACCATAAATAATACTGGGTACCTGGGATGCAAATAGGGGAGAATAGGAGGGAATCAGTAAAGGGAGTAAGATGTTTGAAAAGATTCATTGGATTTAGAGCCACGTGGAGATACAGTCTCCTTGATGAATCCAGGGTCTTTGATTGAGCTACATCTCCAATCATTTTTATTTTTTAAAATTTGAGGCAGGATCTCACTATGACCCTAAATTGCCCAGGTTGGGCTCAAAACTTGCAATCCTAGGGCTGGGGACTTAGCTCAGTGGCACCACACCTGCCTTACAAGTGCAAAGTCCTGGATTTGATCCCCAGTATTAGAAAATTAATTTAAAAACTTGCAATCCTCCTGTCTCAGCTTCCCAGAGTCCTGGGGTTAGAGACAAGTCCCATCATGCCTGGCTAATTAAAAATTGAAAACTGCAGGGGGTTTGGCGCAGCCATTCTGCCGCCTACCTTGTGAATGCAAGGGTCTGAGTTTGATCCCCAGTACCAAAAAAAAAAAGACATAAAAAAATTGAAAACTAAATAAATAAAAGAGGGGAGAGAGGGGGCTGGGGATTTAGCTCAGTGGTGCCGCATCTGCCTCACAAGTGCAAGGTCCCAAGTTTGATCCCCAATACCGAAAGAAAAAAAAAGGAGGGGAGAGGAATAATGCGCTTAACTCAGGGATGTGGAAAAATCAAAATTAAATAGTTCACTTATAGTAACAAAGTCAAAATTAAATAGTGCACTTACAGTAACAAGCCCTGATCCTGTTATTCACGGTAACAAGTACTCCATTCCATTTACGCTGTAAATGCATAAACTTTGGCTGTTTTTTTTTTTTTTTGGTACTGGGGATCTAACTCCAGGACCTTGGGTTTGTGAGGTGGGTGTGGTGCCACTGAGCTACATCCCCAGCCCTACTTTGTCTTTCTTTGAGACAAGGCCTTGCTGTGTAGCCCAGGCTGGTCTAGAACTCAGGCAATCCTGCCGCCTCCTCCTCTGCTGGATTAGACATGCGCCACCACCCGGTTTGGCTGTTCTTAGAAATACAGCACGAGGCACAGACACCAACCTTCTCCTGGTTGAGCTGGGTCCCTCTAGCAGCTTGACGCTTGTCTGCCTGCAGGCTGATATACTGGCTGTCCTTTGCCGTGGGCCGCTCCTTCAGAGGCTTTGGCTACGGCCTGACGTTCCTGCCGCTGCTGGCCATGCTGGTGTGGAACCTCTACTACATGTTCGTGCTGGAGCCGGAGCGCATGCTCACGGCCTCCGGGAGCCGCCTGGACTATCCCGACTACGCCCGCTCAGCCTCTGACTACTGGCAGCGTCCCTGGGGCTGAGCAGCTCTGAGTCAGACACACCTTTCAGTACCCAACAACAGGCCCACAGGACCAGGCTGAGAGGAACCTTACTGCCCCATGGGATTCTGTGCAGAGAGCGGGTCCCCTTGGCTCTCCTGAGTCACCACTGCCCTTTGGAGACAAAGGGCACTCTGTAGTCCAGGCTGGCCTTGAACTCACGGCAATCCTCCTGCCTCAGCCTTCTGAGTGCTGGATTACAGGTGTGTGCCACCACACCTGGTGAGGGACTTTGCTTACAGAGAAAGATGTGGATGGCCAAGTCCCTTAAGGATACTGGGGACAAAGGGACAAGACCAGGAGAAGCATGGGTCCTTCCTGAGCTGCCTCCCACACACTGCCGCTAGGGCCAATGCTGGACTTTGACCCCTCCCCAGCTTCCTGTGAGGCCCAATTCTGTCCACTTCTATGCCAGTGGTGGAGAAAAGAATGCAAGGCCCTGGAAACACTGCTTGTGTTCAGTGAGGCCCTTCCTGGGGCCTGGGTTCAAGGCTGGCCGAGACCAGCCTTAAAGGCCCTTTAGCCTGTCACCTCCTCCCATCCGACCTGTGCAAGCCCCTGGGCCTTCCCTCCTCCAGACCTCCCAGAAGTCAGGCCTTCCACAGGCAGAGAAGAGCAGATAGGGCGAGGCATGTGGGCTCGGATCCTGGCTGCGCAGTGCCTGGAGCGCTGCGGTGGCTGAGGGTAACCTGTTGCGAGCGGGTGTGTAACAATAAATCACCACCACGGTCTTCACTGGCTTTCTACCCTTTTGCGCCCCCCGGCCTCAAGCATCCCTACTTGTCTGATGCAGACTGTACACGTTGGAGGGTGGTGGGCAGAGCACAGCTCCAGAGAAGGGCAAAAATCCTGGTGAAACGGGACGCAAAGCACCTGCCTTCCATGCCCATCTCTTACCCTCCCACTCTGGGGAACCAGCCTCAAACCCACCCAACACCACTCACACACAGACTGGAACCTTGTGAAAACATAATTCTATTTCATGCCTGCAGAGACAGCCAGCTGGACACTCCTTTCACCTTTGAATGTCATCCAATGGAAAGGGGCCTGGGTTTACGCAGTTTGGATTGGCCTTGAACTATGTAGCCCAGGCTGGCCTGGAACTCATGGTGATCCTCCTGCCTCAGCCTCCTCAGTGCTAGGATTACAGGCATGCACCACTATATCCAGCTCGAAAAAGGGTTTGGAGGGAGTGACTACACGTGGAGGCAACACAGAGGAGACCTTCTTTCAGCAACAGTGCTGATCCCTCCCCAGTGTGTATGAGAAGCCCCACCTGGGGGTCCTCAGAAGTTGAGGCTGGGGCTGGGGGTTTAGCTCAGTGCTTCTGCACCTGCCTCACAAGTGCAAGGAACAAAGTTTGATCCTGGGTACCAAAAAAAAAAAAAGTTGAAGCTGGTCCCTGAGGTTCTGCAGAAAAGCAAGATGGTCAAGGGAAAAGGGCTGGGAACATTGACCTCCCAGCCGCCATGCCCTCCCTGGAGGGGGCCTCAGGTTATGGACCGGTACTCTGAGGGTGGCTTGCGGCGCAGGAGCAGGGCCAGGCCTGACCCCAGCAACAGGAGCCCTGGAGTGCCCAGGGCCACGGCCATGATTCCCAGGATGAGAGGGGACAAGGCATCCACTGGTGGGGGGCCCACTCCCAGAAGCAGAGACCTGGAACAGGAGGGGAGAAAGGTCAGCAGGTTCGGGGAGGGCTGGCTCAGCCCCACCCCTCAGCCCCGCCTGGCTCTTACCAGCTGAGGTAGTGTTGGTCCCAGTAGCCAGGGCCCGTGGAAGCCCCGAATGTCAGGTTGAAGGTGCAGTAGCTTTGCTGGGGCCCAAAGAAGGCTCGGACAACAGATGACCGGGGAAGAGCGCGTGCCAGGGTGGGGTGAAGTGGGGAAGCCCGGCAGGACAGGGCCGAGCCTCGGTCCGCCTGCTCATGGGAGAACACCACGGGGCGCCACTGCACAAAGCCAGATGGCGGGGAGCCCCACAGCAACTGGTCCAGCTGGTTAGAAAGGTGAATGGTCAGTGTGAGCAGGACTGAGGTGGGGGCAGAGCGAGGGCTGTCCTGGCTCTTCTCTGCCTCTCCCCATCCCTGCCTGTGAGCTTTTTTTTTTTTTTGAGACGGGGTCTTACTATGTAGTTGAGACTGATCTGGAACTTGCTATGTATCCCAGACTGGCCTCAAGTGACAGTGATCCTCCTGCCTCAGCCTCCTGAGTGCTGAGTGCTGGAATTATAGATATGTGCCACCACGCTCAGCCCCACCTGTTAGTTTTGAGGACACTGCTGGGCCTGGACCTAAATAGGCTGTTGCACCCAGCCCACAGTCCTTCCAGCAGAGCTCCCCGCACCCAGCTCCTCCTTGGCCCCAGCCCTCATACAGATCCTCATCTGCAGACCAGAGCCATCCTATCTCTGCCTTTGGTCTGTCTTCCTTGAGGCAGCAGGTGGGATTCGATAGCAGCTACCCAGCACTTAATTTAGCTCAGTGGTTCCACAGCCTGCCTTGAAAGCACAAGGTCCGAGTTCAATCTCCAGTACAGAAAAAAAAAAAAAGGAGGTGGGGGCAGGGGAAAGTGTTGCACAATGCTGAGTGCTGGCAGGATCCTCTGAGGTCCCGGTAGGTCCGCCTATATCCTGGTCTCTGCCTGTCCCGCACTGGCCTGACCTGGAAGACAGCAGGTGAATACTCATCGTCGATGGAACGCTGCTCCTGAATCACTGGGCAGCCAGGGCCCTGACCCAAGGTGGCCACCTCGATTCCAAACAGGGAGTGGTTCCCTCGGGGAGAGGCCCCAGCCAGGGCCACCTCTAGCTGGCAGGTGTCTGCTGTGTGCAGGAGGCGAGGGGGCCGAGTGGGTCTGCCGGCTCTGTCAAAGGCCTGGACCTAGGAAGGACACAGGAGGGATGGAAGTAGACCCCACGCTGGGCTGGGGAGCCACGCTGGCACAACTCCCACCCCAGGAACCAGCCCTCTGACTCCTCTCTCCCCACACTCACCCTGAAGGCCAGGCTGCCATTGGCAAAAGCCCCAGCTGGGTCATGTTTAGGGTAGCCCCGAAAGGTGGCGCTGAGGGTGGCAGGATGCAGTGAGTCGGTGATGTTGTTCCAGGAGAACTCGTCCAGGGGGTAAGGGGCATAGGGCTTCCCCGGGGGCTCTGCTGAGTCCGAGCCATCAAACTCCAACAGCTGCGGGTGGTGGGATGGACCTGGGGTTTCTCCTGAGCCGCTGCCTCCCGGCCAGGCCCTCCCACCTGATCCTCTTCTCCCGCCCCTGCATTTGTAGTCCGTGGCCTCCCTGGGGATGAGCCCTCCTCTGTGTCGCTTTCCCTCCTGGTCTCCTCAGGCCTCCTCACCCTAGTGAAGATGAGAGCAGAAGAAAACTGGATGCTGTCCTTGGGGAGCACAGCCAGGCCCCCCTCTGGCTCAGGGGACAGTAGGCGGGTCCAGTCGATGCGCAGGACACTGTGGGGGGTGTTCGTGGCCACCAGCACCACTGCTGGAGGCCCCAGGCTGCCCCACACGTAGTGCAGGGTGGAGTTGGGGCCCACCGCCCGGATATGAAGCAGGTTCTGGGGGCGGTCCGGCCAGCCCGGCACCTCCAGATACACCTAGAACGCGGAGCGGTGGAGGGGCTGGGAGAGCGCCAAGGAAAACGCGGGGCCTTGGGTGCAGAGGAAGCTGAGGGGTTGGGCAGTCAGCGCTGCCCGGGCCTGGTGGGAAGAAGGCAGGGCACAGGGCTGACGAGAGAGAACCCATCGCTTGCCTGGACCTGGGAGCCTGCCCTGCCCCGTTTCCCAGTCATTCCCCACGGCCCACAGCCTCGCCCGCCTCTCTGGCCGCCACCCTCCGCCCCGGGCGGGGCCCCAGACGTAGCTCTGCCGCAGACCTCCGCTGGGTCTAGGCCCTCACCTGGCGGGTCTCCTCCCCACGCAGCCCAGACGGGGCCAGAGACAGAAGCAGACTCAGGAGGAGCATGGGGCTGGGGGCGCAGCCCGGCGGGGCTCCCCACACTAGCACATGCGGAGCAACCTCAGCTGCCGGAAGTCGCGGAGTCATGTGACTGGGACTCAGCTGATCGCTGCAGTCATGTGACTGGGACTGAGTGGGGCGCAACAACAGATTCTTTTGGGGGTGGGGGTACCCGGTCCTAGCGCTTGCGAGGCAGGCGGCGGAACCGCTGAGCTAAATCCCCGGCCCAACCGCTGAAGTTCTTAAAGAGCCCGCCCCGTTTAACCCACTTTCAGCGTGAGTCGGAACAGAACCAGAGGCTGGATGTACACCATCCCCCCAAGGCTGGCAAGCAAGGTGTTCAGGTCGGATGCGTGGACGCCCTCCTGGCCTGTCCTACAAGCCAGTCCCGCTGACAGTCAGCGATAGTGAGCGCGGGGTCTGCACTGAAGTCCAGCCCCGATCTGAGGAGTCTCTGGTGGGAAGGTCCAGAGAGGAACTGGAAGGAATCCTGTGGAACGTCGCAGAGAGGGTTCTGTCAGCCTTTTATTTAGGTGTTTGTTTTGGTTGATTCAGGGTCTCACTATGTAGTTGAGACTGACCTGGAACTCACTATGCAGCCCAGGCTGGTCTCGAACTCACAGCCATCCTTCTGCCTCAGCCTCCCGAGTGCGGGGATTACAGGCGTGCGCCACCACACCCGCCTGAACTGCTAATTTCTAAAAGTTCTTCAAGGACGTTCTCATGTTATTGAAACATTCTTTCCCTTTTTTTTGGTACTTGATATTGAAACTAGGTCGTCACACTACTGAGATTCAGCCTTTTTTTTGGCCTCAAATTTGCAATCTTCCTTCTTTACCCTCATCAGCTAGGATTATAGGTGTATCCCATGTTCTGCTCTTCTTTTTAAAAATTATTACAATTAGTTTAAATTCAAATATTTAAAAAAATGTTTGGGGGGGGTACTGGGAATCAAACTCCGGGCCTTGCATTTGTTAGGCAGGTACTGTGCCGCTGAGCTACACCCCAGCCCTAAACTTTTTATTGGAACATTTATTTTGGGGTACATTTTATTTTTTTAGGGGAAAAGGTTTTATTTGGCTTACACTTCATACAGGTTTCAGTCCATAATTGGCAGGCTCCAAGGCAGGTAGGCAGAGGCAGCATTTTACGGCAGCAGAACACAGCAAAAGCAATAAAGTAGCCTTAAAGAGTCTCCTCCCTGCCCCTTTTATTTTCGTTTTGATTTTTATTTTTTGGTACCCAGGATCAAACTCAGGTCCTCACGATTGCAAGGCAGGCAGCAGAACCACTAAGCTAGATCCCCAGTCCCTCCTTTTATCTTCTTCAGGCTATTTTGTTCTGCTTTTTTATGTTTGTTTTGAGACAGTCTTGCTATGTAGCTCAAGACAGTAATCCTCCTGCCTCAGCCTCCCCAGTGCTGGGATTCGGGTACATTTTAGATCTACATAACATTCGTCATAGGGTATTTGTATCTGTACATGATAGATCTTGATTCTTTTGTCTCCCCCAATCTCCTCTCCTCCCTTAAGTACTTTTGTTGTCCATTTTTTGAGACAGGATCTGGCTATGTAGTGTGAACTGGTCTTGAATTTACTGTAGCCCAGGCTCAAACTTGCTGCAATCTTTCTGCCTCAGCCTCTCAAGTGATGGGATTATTGCAATCAGTTTAGCTGCCTGGAATTAATTTTGCTCTGGTAAAATAGGGATTCAATTTCACTGTTTTTCTTTTTTTCCCCCTCCCAGTGGTTGCACTAGGACGGAGTTATCTGTTAATCCTAAATCGCCCTTTTCTTCAGAAAAGCACTTGTAAAGTATCAGCTCTGGGGTCTGATAAGGGAGAATTGGCACAGCCTGTAAGTCCCCCTACTCAGAAGGCTGAGAAAGGGGATCCAAATTTGAGGCCACTCTGGGAAAAGCCCTGAGGAAGACCTTGTCTCAAAATAAAGGGCTGGGGATATAGCTCAGTGAGAGAACATCCCTAGGTTCTGTCTTGGGCACTGGGAAAAAAAAAATAATCCTAGAGCCGGGGATTTAGCTCAGCGATTCTGCCGCCTGCCTCACAAGTGCAAGAACCCGAGTTCAATCCCCAGTATCTCTACTCCCAATTAATCCTGCTTTATGGGGGGAAAAGAGGACTTGACTGGGACTGAGTAGGAAGAATCATCAACAGAGAAGGTAGCAAAAGTACTCACTGAGTTTCTAAGTTTAATGAACAGGGTTCATGCAGACTTTTAAGCACCATTAAATTTGAGAGTGAAGGATCTCACATGTCATAGATTTACAGATTTTGAGGTAGGAGACATTGTAGGTGCAAAACACAAAGGACCAGAAAAACTACACTATGTTTGCTTGGCTGTTACAGCTGACACCAAGATGGCCAGATGAATAAGAATGCACAGGGTGTGACTAGCTGCTTCAAGACTTCCCTAATTCTTCAGCTTTTTCATTATTATTATTATTATTTTTATATATAGTTTTTTGAGACAGGGTCTATGTAGCTGATACTGACCTGGAACTATGTAGCCCAGGATGGCCTCGAACTCACAGCAACCCTCCTGCCTCAGCCTCCCAAGTGCTGGGATTACAGGCATGCGCCACCACGCCTGGCTTTTTCATTTTTAGACAGGGTCTAGTTTATTCAGGCCGGCCTGGAACTTGTAGAGATCCTCCTGCCTCAGCCTCCTGAGTGCCAGAATTACAGGCTTGCGCCATCATACTCTTAGGAATTTTTCTTTGCAATACTGGGGATGGAATCCAGGGCTTCACACATTCCAGGCATATTCTCTACCCCATCCCTCTCAGGGCTCAGAGGCAATTAACACTCTTTAGAGGCAAGGATTTCAGCAAAGGCCTTGTAGAATTCTGAGTAAAAGCTAATGGCTTAAAGCCCAGTCAATCAGCTCAGGGGATAAAGTGGGAGTCCAGAAGGGGTCTGGCCCTTTGCTCTCCACTCCAGTTCAGTGACAACAGCCTGAGCAGGGACCCTGGTTAGCCTCCCAGTGTTCACTTTTTTCGGGGGTACCAGGGATCGAACTCGGGTCCTTGAGCCTGCAAGACAGGCGGCAGAACCACTGAGCTAAATCCCCAGCCCTCTTTTTGTTTTTTGAGACAGGTTCTTGCCGTCTTGTAGTCCAGAACAGCCCAGGCTGGAGACTCAAGTGATCTCCTTGCCTCAGCCTCCAGCATGCTGGATGAAAGTACACATGCTCCATCACACCAGGCTCCACGAAAACACCCCAAATCTACGTCTAACACTTGCGACCCTTGGACGTTACTTTGTATTTTAGATTCCCACTCTCAAAATGAGGTCTATTACCCCTCGTGTAGGGTTGCCATGAAAATTAGTTAACAAGTGTCTAGAACATCCCTGGCAGGCAGTATTATTTACCTAATATTCAATTTATAACCTGAATGCATGATCAAGGACCAAAGTGAAGGCTGAAAGGAAGGACTCTGCCTGACAGTCTGCTGCAGCCCCTGCCACAGGTTTGCCAGTACTGGAAGGACCCTTGCAAGAAGTTGATTCTGGGCCAGGGATGTAGCTCAGTGGTGCAGCACCTGCCTGGCAAGCTCAGGGCCCTGTCTGATTTCCAGTAAAAAAAAAAAAAAAAAAAAAAGAAGAAGAGCGGTGATTCTCAGTCCTACTAGCCCTTCCAAACAAGTGTCCCTTGCAGGGGTTGGGGGCACTTTCCAGTAACTCCAGCTGAGACAGAGTCCCAGGAGTTTGAGGCCCAGCCTGAACTATATAGACAGAACTTGCTCAGGGCTGGGGACTTGGCTCAATGATGCCCCTGCCTGCCTTGCAAACTAAGGGCTGGAGTTCAATCCCTGGTACCAAAAAACAAGCAAAAGTAAAAAATCAGAGTCCTTCATTCTTTAATGTTATTCCAAGTACCCCCAGGAAAAGATTTAGCTACTTGTATAGATGTGCCCACAGAACAAAAAATGATGATATAATTCTAGTTACTAAGCTTTGTCTTCCTGTTATCTATTTCTCATGTTTATATTATCTGGAGCCAGTCATCCATGTGCCATACTTGGAGTAACAGCTCTGGAGAGACAGACATTTAATATCAAAATGAAAGGCTTATGCCAAACACCGATAATTCTGACTTGTACAACATTTTGGGCTACTTTTCATCGATATTCTACTTCCATCCATAGCCAGGCAGCATCAATGCCCAAACCCCCTCTGCCAGAAATTGTTAGAGACTCTTACCCCTCTGCATCCCTTAAGAATAAGGGATTGAATGCCAGGCGTGGAGGTGCACGCCTATAAACCCAGCACTTGGGAGGCTGAGGCAGGAGGATCACTGTGAGTTTGAGACCAACCTCAGCTACATAGTGAGTTCCAGGTCAGTCTCAACTACATAGAGACCCTGTCTCCAAACAAAAAAGAATAAGGGATTGATTGCTGGGTGTAGCGGCATATTTAGAACATTGTAGCAGAAGAATGTCCTGAGTTTGAGGCCAGCCTAAACCACACAGCAAAACTTTCTTTCAAAAACCCAAAACCCAAGCCTGGCACGGTGGTGCACACTTGTAGTCCAAGTATTTGGGAGGCTGAGGCAGAAGGATTGCTGTGAGTTTGAGGCCAACCTGGGCTATATAGTAAGTTCAGGGACAGCCCGAACTACAAAAGCAAGATCCTGTTTCAAAAAGCCAAAACCAAAACCAAACAAACAAAAAACAAGACAATTCTAGGACAGCTGCCCAAGGTTATCTGTCAGTATTTTCCAGGTTTATCCTTCATTTTCCTTTTTGTTTTCAAAATTAACTATTCATATTACAAATACTTACATGTGTTTACAAATAAAAATTTAGCATCAATACTTTTACTTTAATTAAATTTGCAGATCCTGAGGACCTATATAAATAGTCCGCATGAAGCAGGGCTGGAAGTAGCTGTAGGTTAAAATACTTAGTAAAGGGCAGAAACCTATCTTAACAGGTTGAGTTTTAAGAATGTATAAAGGCAGAGCATCTTTTAAGAAACTGGTGTGGGGCTTGTGCCATTCACCTCTAAAATGAGCCGCTGTCTTTCCGTGGGTGGGCCATTCTTCCCCTGTAAACCAAGTCCAGGGGCGCTTCCTACAGGTTCCCAAATCCC